GCCTGAATCACTAACATAAGTCAGTGTGTTTGTTTGGCCCTACTGGGCTTACATAGGTGAAGGGTATGTGAGACTCAGGCAAATGTTTACAAGTCACCCTGTCTCCCCAAACCTGTCTCATCACAAAAAGTGATGAATCTAGGATGATCTCAGACCTTGCCCAAGTAACCACTTAATGCTCAAAGCACGCACCCCCCTTTTCCTTCCTTGTTACACAGAATAGCCTTTCGAAGCTTTCCCAGCTCAGTTGTTCTATGGGTGATGAATGTCAAGTGGCTGCTCCCACATCCCCAATTCAGTGAAATGTATTCATCAGACACCAGGAATTAAGCATTCGCAGGGAGAAGATACCCATGTGTTTACATTTCGGGAAACCAGCTCGAATTGCTTCAACCTAAAACAAAAACTAACCCTCAAAATAAACAAACACAACTTCATGAAACTATTTGCCTTTAAAGCTGTGCCTCATAAAGGAACAAAACAAAACAAAAACTAGGAAGGAATTCTCAAGAAATGTATCATGCGACATTATCTGAGGGTGCAAACTGAAGGTGAATGGGGAATACATAAACCAAAGAGCTGGCAGTGTCTACAGCTGGGGCAGGGAGAGGCCTATCAATTATTGATACTCTTCCTTCTATAGACATGTGTGATGCATTCCATACTGGCTCAAACGTATACAGAGGGTGAGAGGAGAGAAGACTTAAGATTCTCTTACCGGCCCAGAGTGCTGACATTTCTTTTCTGCTCCAGTTGCAGCGGGACCTTGAGAGTTTAGGGTGATGCTCTCTGCCCAGATGAACTTTGGCAAAGCGCTGGAGGATGGGAAGCCCAGCAGATGTCAACACTAGGATGGTCCAAATGAATGCAAGTTTATGCCTTCCCTTCTCCACGGGAGACGCTGGGAGATAGTATCTCACAGCCTCACACCAGATGCTAATCAGATTATATCCAGATGCTCTATGAACATGTGTCAGCAGTTGAAAAGACCTATTCTAATTGGGACAAACTTACTTTTTCCAATGCTGTAGGTAAAATGCACAAGTAAAAATATAAGTACAAAGGAAGTCCAGGTTGAGCACATAGTGTATGTGCTTGCAATAAGTCTGTGTGAAGGAAAAGAGTGAGGAGAGAAAGGAATTAGGCAGCTTCTCGAGCTCCCTTTGCTTACAGATGATACTTCTCATGGGTTTAAGATTCCGTCCCCTGATTTGAAGGCTATCTAGGTTTTAGTAAATCCTCTTTCTTTCTGGTTGACTGGGGGGCTCCTAACGTTAACAAGCATAACTGAGTTTCATACTGAAGAATAACCCGAAGTATTTTCTTGTGCCTTTAGAGCAGAATTTATGTTTTTCAACAGATGCTTCAACCTCTGTTTGTTGAGTGCCTACCTTATGCACGGGGCAGCGGGGAGACACCAGGGAACAGCGGCGTAGACAGCTGTGACCTTTTAAGGAACTCAGAGTGTGGTAGCAGAGACAGATAAACAGGAAATTGCAACACATGTGGAAACACTGTGATAGAGGTCTCCCTATTAAGATGCTAGGGTCCTCCAGCTTCAGCCTGGCGAGGGGGATGGTCTGAGAAAAGTCTCCAGGGTGAAGCCATAGGGTGAAGGAGCCGGGGAAAGCAGAGGTGAGAGAATGGTGGCCTTCAGGTAGAGAAAACATGCCCCGTACTATGTAGGTGTCTGTAAGTCACACAAATTCCGATTAGGAGATAAATCACTAAAACTGGGTAAAAGTATACTGGGCTTGACCAGAAAGCAGCAAGTCCCATACAGTTAGACATATGCAGAGACTGGATTAAAATTTCAGGGAATTATAAAAAGAGATTTCTAGACTAGATAGGAGACTGTACTGGGTCTATGGCCCCAATCCCAGAGCCACCCCAAATACCCAAAGGTAGAGTTCAGGAACGTGGATCTGTTTGAAAGCTCCCTAGTTAGTCTTTAGGCAAATAAATCAAAACCACAGTAAGATACCATTCCACACCCATTAGGTATACGAAGCCATTAGGATGTGGGGGTAATGGAATTTTCTGTATTGTAGGTGAGAAAAATGACACAGCTGCTGTAGAAAACTGCATGGTGCTCCCTGAACAGTTAAACATACACTTACTATAGGATCCAGCAATTGTGCTTCAAGGTATGTACCCAAAGAAAGTGAAAGCAGAGACTCAAACAGACATTTGTACACCCTTGTTCCTAGCAGCGTTATTCACAATAGCCAAAAGGTGGCATCAGCTCACGAATGGATTAACAAAATGCGGTATATACACACAGTGGAATATTATTCAGCCGCAAAAGGGAACGCAGTTCTGACACAAACCACGACATGAATTAACCTTGAAGACATTATCCTCAGTGAAATGAACCAGACACAAAAGGACAAATAATTAATATACGATTCCACTTGGATGAAATATCTAGACTGGACAACAGAAATCAGACCAGAGGTTACCAGGGGCCAGGAACGGGGAAGTATTGCTTCATGGTTACAGAGTTTCTGTCTGGGGTCAAGAAAAATGTTTGGAAATAGTAGTGATGGTTGTACAACAGTGTGAATGTACTTAAGGTCACCGAGTTGTGCAATTAAAAATGGTTAACATGGTAAATTTTACGTCATTTATATGTTACCGCGATTGAAAAATAAACAGCTTCCTTGCTGATTTTGAAAGAGGCCATCCATAGAGTAGTTTTGGAGAACCACTGGACTAGCTTCTCATACAGGTCTAGGCGTTTCAGAGGCTAAAAAGCCAAAGCATTTGCACAGCATTAAACTAGAAAAAACTGTAGGGTCTTCCTATGGGATATAGCTAGCTTGTGAGCACAGATGAACTCCAAGCCTTTTTGGGATCTGCCCGAGCCAGTAACGGGCCTCCCTCTGATGAAAACAGTCAATGAAATCCAAGGTCTTTCTCCAGGGAGGATAGAAGGTTGGGGGTAGTTCACCTTTTTTGCCCACTTCCATGAATCACCCATGGGGAAATGCCATTTCTTTGTGTCAAAGCTACCCAACAGAAGCCAGCAGACATCCCAAATTTCCTAGGCACACACACACTCTGAGTCTTTGAACTTGCATCAATCTCCAAAAGGTGGGAAAGGAAGAAGGAGGGTATAGATAAGTGTCTCAGCCTGGGTTCCCTAAAAAGCAAACCCTGAGCCAAAGGCTTGAGTGCAGGCAGGTTTCTTTGGGAAATGGTCCCAGGGAGCAGGACTGAAGGATGGAGGGTTAACACGGAAGAAATGAAGTCTGCACTGAGAACTGTTATTCAGTTGGACACCTATATGGGCAAGAAAGAATCCCATAGGACACTTTGAGAAGCCATGTGAAAGAGAAGCCAGGACTGCCCACCTAGGAACTGGAAAAGGGAAATATTTATCCATTGGCTCAGCTCCTTAGCATCAAGAACGACCTCACGAGCACTAACTCCTTGCACTATGCACGTTGGGTTGCGTGTGCAAGGAATGAGAGAAGACCCAGGCAGGGCAGGAAGCAAGAGGCAAGTGGCCCAGAACAAGGACCGAAGGAGAGGCAGTGGCAGGCTGTGTCTGCACGAAGTTGGTGATGCCTGGGTTGACCTCACTGGCAGAGCGGCAGGTGCAGTAAGAGGCTGGACCAAGAGAAGTGAAGTGGTGCACGAGACGGGTCCAGTGTAATACAAAATCACCCTGCAGTTGTAACCAAGTTTACGACTACTGCATGGATTCACGATCTCCCCAGGGACTTCAAACGGTTTGCCTACTAAGCACCAGATCAGTCCATAGACTCGTCTACACTCGGAGGAAGACGGCAAAGATCGATTGGGAAAAGAGGCAATATTGCTAATCACAGAATAGCTTTTGTTTCTTTGATTTATAACTTTGAGCCACTGTAAACCACAGGAAATAAAAAAGACCACATTTTATTCTTCCCATCGTTCATCCCAAGTGGGATGCTTTCCCCTAAATTCCCACTAGTTTCTAAATTTAGAAGCACTCCCTTGCAGGGGCACGGGGGTGGGGGCTGGGGAGTGGCGTGTAACTTTAACTCAGTGGTTCTCAAAGTGTGGTTCCAAACCAGCAGCTGCAGCACTTGGAAACTTGTCAGAAATTCAAATCCTTAGGCCCCATCCCAGACTGCCTGGATCAGAACCCCTGGGGTGGGGCCCAGCACTCTGTTTTAATGGTCCTTCCAGGGCATTCTGATGTGCATTCAAGTTTAAGAACTGTTGCCTCGGGCTTCCCTGGTGGCGCAGTGGTTAAGAATCCGCCTGCCAGTGCAGGGGACACGGGTTCCAGCCCTGGTCCAGGAAGATCCCACATGCCGTGGAGCAACTAAGCCCGTGTGCCATAACTACTGAAGCCCACATGCTGCTACTACTGAAGCCCACACGCCTAGAGCCCATGCTCCGCAACAAGAGAAGCCACGGCAATGAGAAACCCAAGCACCACAACTAAGAGTAGCCCCCGCTCGCCACAACTAGAGAAAGCCTACACACAGCAACAAGGACCCAACACAGACAAAAATGAATAAATAAAATAAATAAATTTAAAAAAAAAAGTGTTACCCTTGTAGCTCTATTACACTAGGAAAGAACTCAGACATATCAACTGCATAAGACAAGTGCTAGGGCCCACAGTCCAAAACTTACAAAACTGTCTGCAGTGTATAGCACAGTTTTAGAATTAAAAAAAAAAAAAAAAAAGAACTGTTGTCCCAGAACAGCAGAACAGCACTTAATGAATCAGTCACATGCTTTAGACCAGGTTTTGAGAATCTCCCTCTAGCGAAAGGGGCGTGAAATCATGACTGAGTTTTCACTCGATACCAGCAAACACTGAATATGCTTTTGCATTAGTTTCCTGGGGCCACTGTGACAAATCACCCCAAAGCAAGCAACTGAGAACATCAGAAAGTTTCCCTCCCACAGGCTGGAGGCCAGATGCCCCAAATCAAGGTGCTGGCAGGGCCATCCTCCCTCTGGAGGCTCTAAAGGAGGATCCTTCCTTACCTCTTCCAGCTGCTGGTGGCTCCTGGCGTTCCTTGGCTTGTGGCCACCTAATTCCAGTCTCTGCCTCATCTTCGTAGGGCTTTCTCCATCTGTGTGTCTCGGTGTGTGTGTGTCTCTCTTCTTTCTGCTGTCAGAACACCGGTCCCCGGATTTAGCGCTTGTCCTAAATCTCAGGTGATGTCATCTGGAGATCCTCCATTATATCTGCAAAGACCTCTATCGAGAAGGTCACATTTATAGGTACTGGAGGTAAGACTTGGGCAGATCTTTTGGGGGAGTCAAAATTCAACCCACTACAATTTCCAACAAACTAGAATTCAGCATCTTCATAAAACTCACCAGTTGTTTTTTCTTTTTTTTTTTTAAAGAACAGTTAAACACATCTAAAAACCACACCAGGACCTCCCTGGTGGTGCAGTGGATAAGACTCTGCACTCCCAATGCAAGGGGCCGGGTTCGATCCCTGGTCAGGGAACTACATCTCACATGCATGCCGCAACTGAGAGTTTGCATGCCACAACTAAGGAGCCCACCTGCCACAACTAAGGAGCCCACCTGCCACAACTAAGACCCCATGCAACCAAATAAGTAAACAAATATTGAAAAAAAATAAATAAAATCCACGACCATTTGATCACCTTTTCCTTCCACAGGCAACAAGTCAACAGAATCACATATAACTGGGATGTCTATTCCCCATTGTGTACAAACGTTATCACCCGACACAGATGTTCCAAAATACAGTGACTCCCTATCCCTGGCTGATCATCTAAGCCCGTCTCCCTCCTTCACCCCAGATGTCCAGGAAGCATATTAATTAATCACAGTCAGATGCCTGGTTGCTCACAGGTGATTATTGCCCTATGAAGCTGAAGGACACAATTACTGCCCCAAACACTCATTGCTCAGGAATCCTCCTGTCACCTCTGCCCCAAACAAGAGCTTGCTACGTGCTGACCGTGTGTCCCATGGGCCACTCCTGCTGCTGGCCCCAGTGCCCTGCTCTATGTCTTTCCCCCAGTCTCACCACAGCAATAGGAGAAAGATGGTTTCTTCCCTACCACATCGCCCCGAGCATGGTTACAGGCCTCTCAACTTAGGCACAAGCCCATGTGCCTAAGTGTCTCCTGCTGAGCCAGTTCCTATCTCTGTCTGGCATGGGGCCATCTTGTTGTACATTTCTCCAGGGCACAATTCACATTCTATTCCTTAATAATGGTGCCCTCATGGGCCATGGGCTTCCCTGGTGGCGCAGTGGTTGAGAATCCGCCTGCCAATGCAGGGGACACGGGTTCGAGCCCTGGTCTGGGAAGATCCCACATGCTGCAGAGCAACTAGGCCCGTGAGCCACAACTACTGAGCCTGCACGTCTGGAGCAACAAGAGAGGCTGCGATAGTGAGAGGCCCGCGCACCGCAACGAAGAGTGGCCCCCGCTTGCCGCAACTAGAGAAAGCCCTCGCACAGAAACGAAGACCCAACACAGCCAAAAATAAATATAAAAATAAATAAATTAAAAAAAAAAAAGAATGGTGCCCTCATGGGCCATGCATGGTCACTGCCCTGACATAGCCAGACAGCACATCCACTCCTGGGACCTCTCCATGCCTCAGAATCTTGGCCCAAGTCCCCTCCAGCCTGACTGTGAAGGAAGTCCTCTCTTCCCCCCAAAGTCATCAGCAATGGAGTCATCCATTCTCTCCAGGGGAAGTACCTCCCCAGCCTCACCCTCAGGGATGTGGTCTGACCCCAAAGCCCAGGAAGATACTTCCCCAAAGCTCTGACATTCTAACAGGTCCCCAACTAAATGCAATTTCAATCGTACCCATGCTATCCTCGTTACAAGTGTAATTATTAAAAGACATTAAAGGCATTAGACATTATAGCAACAGAAACACAGATTTTAAGAAAGGAAAGGAAACTTTCTCATATACTTGCCAAGGATCAGTCAAAAGCTCCCATTCTGGAAATGGTGTAAATATGGTCTGGCCCCCAGCACTAGCTAACTTTGAATCTCTCTGTGGCTCACAGATGGGATGTCATATGGATCATATCCAAAGGCTTGATTACTTACTTGGTCCTCGTTCTTTCCTAGATCAGCCCTGTTGGAAAGGAATGAGAGGAAGCAATGTGGTGTTCCACTGGGAGAATAAATGGAGCCGTGTCCTGGAGTTCAACCAGCACGTCAAAGGGACCTCCTGTTCTCACTTGACGTCTCATAACTTCCCCCAGCAGAGTTAGCTCCTAGGCTTGGAAGCTACGTGATGAATTTTACCTGAAAAAGAAGGATCTTGATGAGGGTGAGGCAGGAAGGAGAAGGAATCAGAGTCAACCAAGTTGAGCCATTTCATCTCTTTCCTTGGCTTACCCTACTTGGGGTTCATTTGTTCATTTATATACTTGGGTTTCATTTCACCTCTTAGCAAAGGAGAACTTCTCTTTGCCTCTCACACGTTCTACCTTTTCTTTCTATCTGGGACATAGACAGAGCAACAAACACGCCCAAGGGCACACAGCTGGCAAAGGGCAGAGCCAAGATATAAAATGTGAGCAGTCTGAACCTGTGCCTCGTTCCCTTTTAAAGGATCCCAGGTCCCCAGAGGCATCTGAATAGGACCAGTCAAATACTTTATCTTCTGGTTAGTTCCATATAGATTTTCCTACTGTCTTTTTCTGCCCGACTTATTTCACTAAGCATAATAGCCTCCAGCTCCATCCATGTTGCTGCAAATGGCAAAATTTCATTCTTTAATGGCTGAGTAATATTCCATTGAGTGTGTGTGTGTGTGTGTGTGTGTATACACACACACATACATACCACATCTTTTTTTTTTTTATCTGTTCATATGTTGATGGACACTTAGGTTGCCTCTATATCTTGGCTATTGTAAATAATGCTGCTGTGAACATTAGGATTGGCCTCAGTCTTTAAAAAATAAAAAAAGATTCATTTACAGGACTGTGTGGATGGCATTCCTTTGCAGGGCAGAGAACTGTGAGGGAGAGGAAGACTGCCCTAATGATGTGAGACAGACTCCTTTCAGGGGCACATGTGTTTCTGGGTATCATTTATCTTATGTGTGAGGTTGGATCTACTCAAAATACTGGCCTAGCAGTTGAGAGGCTACAGAAGGTACAAAGGCAGGACTGGATGCTGGAGAAGTTCCCCCCATCCCAGACCCTTGAGGGTGGTCAGCTATGTATTTACAGCTGTTTGGTGATGGGTCGGGGCAAGGGGTAGGGGGGTGGAAAGCACTGGCAGGAGATGGGGTCATTAGCAGCTGTGCAGTAGCGTTGCCCCCCCTTCTGAGCCCAGAGCACCGCTCAGATTCTACTCTGTGTGGTCCCAGAAGATACTCTAAGGACCAGATGGAGGAAGCAAACTTTTTTCTTGAGTCATTGGGCCAGTCCAGTGCAGACTTCAGTTTAGACACTTGGGAGCATCGCTCTGGAGATTCAGTGACCCTTCTGAAAGCACTCATAGTTCTGACCTTGGCCGGAGATACTTAACACAGGGAAGGCTAGCAAGCCATCCCTAAAACCACTGGTAAAAAACTGGTAAAAACAAAAAGTGCAGGACGCTGACCCAGGAGGAGATTAAGAGAAACTCAGAAAACGAAACCGCTTTTCTGAAGAATGAGATTGGGCAAGGGAGGAAGGTAAGGGTCATCTCCTCAGTTCAAGTAAGAAATAGGAAGGTGGGAATCTCCAGGTGAAGCCCCAGAAACGATGCTGAAGCAAGGCAAACTGGTTAGTAGTCAAGGGCTCCAGGAAAGTTGAGGGTTGCAGAGTTAACACACCGGGGGTTACTTGAGCCTTCTGCCGTGCCTTACACTTTACACTAGATAACTCAGGTAACTAGATAATTGGAAAGTTTTCTTTTTGCAGGCCAAACTTTAGCTTGAAAAAAGAGACATAAGAAAAGCAAAGTAGAGCTTCATGAGAGCAGGAAGACTGTCTGACTTATTCATTGTTTTATCTCCAATCCTAGAATAATGCACACAGTAGGTACTCAATAAATACCTGAGGAATGAGTATGTTGTCCAGTGAATTCAGCTCAGTGGTTTTCTTCCACAGCCTCTGCCTTTGTATGAAGGGGAAGGTCTCTTCCAGTTTTTCGAGGGCAGCATTTTGCGTGATGGGGGGCTTCATACAATCCGGATAATCTCTGCGTGAGTCATTAAATTGTTAAATTAGTTATTTTATTCTTTTCATTCAGTAGATCTCTGGGGGGCGCTTACTCTGTGCAGGCACTGAGCTTAGCACGTGTGAATACAATGGTGAGCAAAATAGGTGTGCACTGGCTTGGAGCTCACCGTCTCACAGACCTGTAGCTCTCCAAGGCCATTGTCGTGGACGGAGGCTTTAGCTAACCAAACAATGTAACCAAACCAAAGCAAGCAAGTCAGAAAAGAAACTACATCCAAAGCACTGGCCCTATGGCCTTCAGAACTTCTCATGGCCATCGAATAACTCACATGACTAGATGGTCTAGGCAAGGAGGAACTTTGAGAGGTTTAGATTGGCCCCCATGTATTAGTCACAGGAGGCTGAATTATGCTGTAGCAACAAATTAGCACTGAAATCTCTACAGTTTAATACAACAAAGGTGTTCAGCTGACCCTTGAACAACATGGGTTTGGACTGTGTGGATACACTTACATGCGGTTTTTTTCCGCAGTAAATACTACAGTACTACAGCATCCGAGGTTGAATCTACGGATGCGGAATCTCAGATACAAAAGAAGCTTGGATACGGAGAAACCATGCATTCCGGGGCTGACTATAAATTATATTCAGGTTTTCAACTGGGTGAAAGGTTGGAGCCCCGAGTTGTTCAAGGGCCAACTGTATTCCTTATTGAAACAAAGCTTGTTATGGATGACTTCTTCCATGCAGTGACTCAGGGATCTGGTCTGCTTCCATCCAATGATCATCAGCATCTCAATCTGTGCATCCTGGTCACCAGGGCTTGGGATGAGAGATTGCAGACAAAGGCCTAGGGTTGACACCTCACTTTCCCTCAGTCCTTTGGCCAGTACTAGTCACATGACCCCACCCACCACAGAGGCGCAGGGAAGTGGGAGGGAACACATGGATACTCAGTGAGCATTACATGTCTCAACCACACCCATTCTTTACACAAAACGCCCCCTGAATCATCATTCTGCAGAACTGAAAAACAACTTTGAAACAGTTGAGAGATGAAATTTAGAGGATAGATTTTGCAAATGAGTGAGCCAATTTCTTTCCTGGGCTCTTTATCTGGGAATACTTTGGAAGTGAAAGGAATATAGTTAGTCCCCCCTGTTTCTAGGTCAGAGGAATTCATTACTGACTTCCATGTATGTTCCTAGCCCTTTGTTCTCTTACAGGCCAGGAAAATTTCCTCTTCACCTCCATATTTTCAGGTGGGAAGGTCTGTTCTTCCACCCTGGTAAAGAGAGATGAGAGAAAACCCTAGATTGTAGATAAGTAAATTGGTTTCAATACCTCTAAAAATTTTATGGCAGTAGCATTACCTACCTTTTAAATGTATGTCTTTGCAAACCTTTGTCCACTGGGCTCCTGTTTACAATAAGCATAACTGACTGTACCTGAAAAATTAGAATAACATTTGCTTTTGCTAGATTCACTTTTTGCTACTGGATAGAAAGCATCAGCTTCCTTTTTTGTGTTTCTTCTGCCACTGGGGCTTTTATTAAGGACTGTACCATCTCATTTATTTCTAATTCGGTTGCAGATTTCTATTACCTACTAAATGTGCCCTGGTTCTGTCCTGGCTTGTTCAGGCATATTTTCTAATAAACAGCAGCCATGTAATTAGCACTAGACCCATGAAAGAAGAATATTGAGATATGATGATTTATTCCATTTGCTAATATAAGTTTATTCCTGGGTAATGCTTTCCAGATCAACATGGATTTGCCTATTCTTTCAACAAATTTGTTTATTTTATTTATTATTTTTGGCTGCTTTGGGTCTTTGTTGCGGTGCGCGGGCTTCTCACCGAGGTGGCCTCTCTTGTTGCGGAGCACGGGCTCCAGGCGCACGGGCCCCAGCAGTTGTGGCACGCGGGCTCAGTAGTTGCGGCTCGCGGGCTCCAGAGCGCAGGCTCAGCAGTTGTGGTACATGGGCCCACTTGCTCCGCGGCACGTGGGACCCTCCTGGACCAGGGCTGGAACCCGTGTCCCCTGCACTGGCAGGCGGATTCCCAACCACTGCACCACCAGGGAAGCCCCGGATTTGCCTATTCTTAAACCTTCACTTCCTAGTGATGGTTCTCTCGTTAGATCATAAATTATCTGATTATAATTCAGTGGCATGAATTCTTGACTTTGGTTTTTGCATTTAGAGCTGATAGCACTTGAAAAGTTGGTAGCTTCATTATGGAGTCCAAGGGCAGTACTACTCCTTGAAATTGGAAAGCACTATGCTTAGCTAGAGTTAAAAAAACAAAAACAATCTGGTGGAAATTCAGTAATGCAAACCCGACCATAGCCACAGGCACTAATAGGAAGCTCTGACTGAAATTTTGCCCTGCAGCAACTCGGCAACCAGAAGAAAAAAGCCTCAGTCTTAGAAGGAACACGGAGCATTGGAGGGAATGCAAACATTCGAGGTATAGAAGGCTGAGCTTGTGCTTTCCCTTTTCCCTTTTAATTTACTGAACAAGGATTTTTAGGAATCTTCCTTTTGACATTCCTTCAAAATATGTTTTGAGGCTCTACTCTGTGTTAGGCCCCAGAGGAACCGGCTGAAAAGACAGCCAGCATGCCTGTGCCCTTGAGTAGTACAGGCTGTAATGGGGGAGAAGCATAAACTCACAAGTACATCATGGAGAAAGGGGATATGCAGAGTCCCCTGGAAGCCTGAGGCAGAGGTACCTATTTCCAAGGGGCTTGGACCATTCTGGAGGAAGCTGATCTGAGCTGAGCCCTGAAGAATGAGGAGTCATCTGTCAGGTGAAGGACAGGTAGAACAGGGAAGGTAGGGATGTGAGTGTTTTAAGTGGATGCAACAGCAGGTACAAAAGGCTGGGTGCAAGGCAGAGACCACAAGGAGACCTGGAAAGATCAGTTTGGTTGGACTTTCATGCTGTTTTTTCATCATATGCACGTCACGCAGTGCTTTCCAGCACCGGTGGCTTGCGTGTTCACGTCTGAACACCTCTCTGAGGCAGAATGAGCTGAAGACAGAGAGAAGGTGCCAGACTTGAGACCTTGCCTGACCATAAAGGTTTCCTAGGTTATGGGTCTTGACCATGAGAACAGATACAGCAACTTTCACATAGTCATCCTCTTACCTGGCTTGAGGCCTCCAGCTGGATGGAATTCACATGGCCGATGAAGTTAGACAAAAAAGACCTCTGTGGTTCCTGAAGTTTTGGAGAAAAAAATTCAACTAGTATCAGAAACTGCACAGCATGGAGGGAGTCTGGGTATTGAGTAAAACAGAGGGAAAAAACGATATAGGACAGTGTGGCTGATTGATTTACATAATAAAGAGCAGGTGAGGGAGATGGGAACATGGGATGGAAAAAAAAATCTGTGCACAGGGTATGTTTCAGGGTGCAAGAGAGAATTTGGGGGGAAAGCTGACATCCATGTGCAGAATAGTAAGAGGAGCAGCGATGGAGAGAGAATTTTAAGATGCTTGCTATGCTTTAAGAATTCACCTCTCCTTTGGCATTTCCCTGAGAGACAGTATAGATTTGAAATAATGAGTATAGATTTATAATATTTCTTGGTTCCTGAATTGTACTTCTTTGAATGCACCACGTGGCTGAGACTGGGCCAGTTGGAGTCATAGGGTTTGGAGGATTGTAGGAACTTTCCCTTGAGATAGTAGCTCCAACTCAATAAGTACAGTGCACACGACTGTTTGGAAATATATCCAATAGGTGATAATCCTGGTTCTTCCTGCTGAGATAGCTGTGACAGGAGGTACATTTTGGTGGGTCTGCCCAGCCCATGACTTTCTTTACCTGAAAACTCTTTCCTCACCCACAAGAACTAGCACCCCACCAGCATGCTGGCACCTAGGCATCACCCCCTCTCCTCCAACAGGTGATTGGACCAGGAATGAGCACCTGATACAAGCTGGGCCAATCAGAGTTTCTTTCCTGAGAATAAGGGGTTAAATGTGGGAGCCGTGGAGAGCCACCTATGTCCATGAGCTCCCCAAAGCTGCCAAAGCAGATCAACAAAGGGAGATTAAGCAGACAGCTGAAGGGAAACAGATTTAAAAACTGGGATAGAATTTTTCTGAGCTCTTGGTGGCTTTCTTCTTCCTGGTTCCAAGTTCTCATGAACGGGCTGTCCTTTGATTCTTGCAAGATACACAGTCTCCTTCAAATAAATTCTCTCTTTTTTCCTTTATGCTCAAGTTTGTTTGAAGTAAGTTTCAACCACCTAAAATCGAAAGAATGTGGCCTAAGAGAGTTGCCTTTTATGGCCCAAATTCCTCAAGTTATTGGGCTCACTTTCTGGTACTTCTGGTCTCATGTGTTTGCTAACTAGTGTGTGAATGGTACAAAGCTGTCCAACAACCCACATGATCTGTTTTATCTCTAGAATCAGCCAGCCTATCAGGGAAACAAGTATCTGCTAGTATTTTGCTGACAAAGCTGTTCTGCTGGGTACAATTGTGTCATTTAATGTCTTGACTATTTCCCACTAAACTTCAGCCTGTGTTTGTCTTCGATTATTTACCTATTGCATCTTCTGGTAAGGTTTCCTTCTCGGAGTCTTGTCTGGACATCTCTCTCGGGCAAATTAGCTGTAGTGAGAAGTGACACTGGCATTGGTTTTCCAAAGAGGCTGACGTTTCTCATTCTGGATCACTAGGAAACCAGTGTACTTTCCACATATGGTAGATGAACACCTGAGAAGCGGACTCTTCCAGACTGAAGCTCTATAACACAAGCTGCATGCATTTAGCACCTAAGGGCTCATAGAATATGAAGGATTTCCCACGACGAGAGAGGCTCAGAGCAGTTTTTCCCAAAGGGTCTTCTCAGATCCCTAGATATTTATGAAAAATGCAGTTTACCAGGTTTTGCTGAATCAGACTTTCTAGGGATGGGGCCAGGGACTCTGGATTTTAAATAATCTACCTAGGTAATTCTGGCGTGTGAAATCCATTGGCTATACGCACCAAAAGTAGCAATTCTCAAATTCAAACATAATTGTTAGACTGTATTTCACAATAAACTTAAATGGAGCAGGACCCTAAGGTCCTTCTCCATCCCTCTCCCTGCCCCCATGTCCTCTGCCTGCCTTTTGTCTGTAGAAAAACTTTAGTCAAAGAATAAATTTAATTAGAGAAGTGAGAAAATGCAGAAACAAAGGAAAACAGTCAAACAAGACAAAATAATAATAGTTTAGTGATTAAGCAAAGGACCTTTAGTTCCTCCTCAAAGGCTATAGATAATATTCTGAGCCATATCCTTTGAGCTGGTTTGTAGATACAGAAACCACCCCCCTGCAAGTGGAAGAAGTTAACTACATGATGACCACACTGTAACCATGACAGAAGCTGCCACAATTCCGAGAACAGGCCTCAAAGAAATGGGAACAAACTGACCCTGGAAATGAAGATTAACTGTACTTGAAACAATCAAGATGACGTGGATCAGAGCACCGCATGACCAATTTCACGATGACTCTCAGAGCTGACTGTGCCGTTTCTGCATGTAGTCCCCTCCCTCTGCCTATACACCTGTGAAACTACCCTTTAAAACTCTTGCCCACTGATTGTCAGTGGGGGAAGTCAGCCTTTGGACATGAGTCTGCCCTCTCCCGCTGGTTGCCAGCCTCTGAAATAAGCAAACTTTCCTTTCCACCAACCTAGGGTCTCTACTATCGGCTTTCGAGCGGCGGGCAGCCAGACCCCACTTTCGGTAACAAACTCACCTTCTTCTTCCATGCTATGCTTCTCTTCTACATATCACTTTAATATACAGTGATATATATCTCTCAGAAAAATTAAAGTCAGTTAAATTACATTTCTTTTTTTGAAGACTGTCACTTCTAGGCAAGTGTGAATATACCTGAGATCCTCCAAAACTGGATTATAAACCCCAGGCTCATATCTCTCCCTCCTGACCAGAGGGCTTGTTATCAGCTTCTCCAGAAATGGGTGGGGCTGGAAGAGCTGTTTTTTGTTTGTTTTGCCCAGATACTTGGAAGAAAACAAACAAATGCTGAGGCAGAATTTCTTAAAGTGTGGTCCTCAAACCAGCTAGATCAGACTGACATGGAGAGCCTTGTTAAAAATGCAGATACTGGGGTTCTACCCCAGATGCACTTAATTATAACCTCTGTGGGAGATGTGCATCATTTAATTAGCTCTGCAGGCATTTTTAAAATATGGTAAAGATTCAGGCCTTTCTGGGATGTCTCAAAATCCTATTTAATGCTTACATTAGAAGAAAAGACAATGAATACTCTCAGACAAGATACTAACGGTATCTAGTTCCGGCCACCCTTTCTCTGTGGGTGGGATAGTAGTAGTAATAACAACATCGACATCAACAACAGTTAACGTATTTTAAGCCCTTACAGTGGCAGACTGAGTGCTAAGAGCCTCATGTGCATTATTCCAGTAAATCCAAACAACAATGCCACTATACTCACATTTGTTAGCTAAAAACCAAGACTCAGAGAGGATGTGGACATTTCCCAAGATGACACAACTAGCAAGTGATTGAGACGGAATTTGAAATGCTAAAGGGGAGTGGGGCAAAATAAAAGGTGTGGAAACTGGCGTCCAGAATTCATCCTTCATGTCTGAATCAGGGTTGCAAGGAACACTTCAGTGTGAATAGGAGCTTGTGTAGATATGTAATGAAACGATACATAAACACAACGGGGAGGGACCAAAGTCCTACAGTAATCCTAGAGGAGCACCTCCAAGGCAGGAACTGGAATCTGTGTGGCGGTGAGGGAGTCACGGGGACCAGCTCCTCTGGGTCACTTCACATCTCTGTGCTCGCATCCATCTTTGCTCTTGGACCCTCTCTCAGCCCAAGCTTCTGTTTTCCCATCCTTCATCTTATCATGATCCTGTGGGCCTAACTCCACCGGCCAGCTCTCCCTATACATCCTCTTAGCTTTAACTTCCACTGTCTCATTCTCTCGGAATTTTTTAAAATTTATTTTATTGAAGTATAGTTGATTTATAATGTTTTTTTAATTTCTGCTGTACAGCAAAGTGATTCAGTTATACATATATCAATACATTCTTTTTCATATTCCTTTCCATTATGGTTTATTATAGGGTATTGAATATACTTCCCTGTGCTATACAGTAGGACCTTGTTATCCAGTCTATATATAATAGTTTTCACCTGCTAATCGCAAATCCCATTCCACCCCTCCCCCCGCCCCTCCCACCAGCAACCACAAGTCTATTCTGTGTCTGAGTCTGTTTCGTAGATAAATTCATTTGTGCCATATTTTAGATTCCACATGTAAGTGATATTAGATGGTATTTCTCTTTCTCTTTCTGACTTACTTCACTTACAGTGATAATCTCTAGGTCCATCCATGTTGCTGAGAATGGCATTATTTCACTCTTTTTTAATGGCTGAGTAATGTTCCATTGTACATATGTACCACATCTTCTTTATCCACTCATCTGTTGATGTATATTTAGGTTGCTTTCATGTCCTGGCTATTGCAAATAGTGCTTCAGTGAACACTGGAGTGCATGTATCTTTTCAAATTATAATTTTCTCCAGATATATGCCCAGGAGTGGGATTGTAGGATCACATGGCAACTTTATTTTTAGTTTTTTGAGAAACCTCCATACTGTTTCTCCATAGTGGCTGCACCAATTTACACGAAATTTCTTAATTTACATACTTAAGAGAGATAATCTGATTGGTCCACTTTATCATGTCTTGCCAGGTCACTTCCAGATTACTGGTTTGCTGCTATTCTTGACTCCAATCATTCTGCAGAGGATGAGGAAGAGGGGGGTCATGGAGTGAAACCGTGGCTACCTGACGGCCATGCTCCCCAGGAGGGTCTGTGAGCAGAACTGGCACAGTCATTGCCATTTCTAAAAGCTTCATCCAAAGGCTCTCAGAGGGCTTAGAATGAAATAACTCTCACCTGCAACTCCCAAGTCCTCAGGCTTAAGGGTGGGTGAGGCAGTTGCAGACTTCTCGCCTAGCAGAAAGTCAAATTGGTAAACTCCTTTAGGGTAGGGGTTTTTGTTTGTTTTGTGTACTGCTGTATCCCAAGCACCTAGAACAGTGCCTGGCACAGAGCAGGCTCTCAATAACCATTTGTTGAATGAATGAATAAATGATACTGCAGTATCCAGCAGGTCCCAAATATTGTGGATCAGACACAGGGAAATCTAATTTACATGCTGCTTTGGCCTTGGCTCCCAGACAATACTAATACCATCCTAACCGGAACACAGCCATGCATGTAACGTGCCACACAACCCACTTATTATCTGCTTCAAAGCAAATACAAATATTTTCGGTCATCTGCCGGTTTCAATTCTTGCTAATAAGTGAAAATTAACCGTATGGCCCGGGGTCGGAGTCAGCTTCGAGAACCCTCAAGGAACGGAGATGCTAAGAAGGCAAAGCATTTTAACTGGTGGTTCTCAACCAGCGGTGATTTTGTCCTCAGGGGACACGCAGCTAAAAAGGCATTTTAAGAAATTCTGGTAAAATAAAGGTAACATAAAATTTGCATTTTTAAGGGTACAGTTCAGTAGTAAGTACATCTACATGGTTGTGCAACAAATCTCCAGAATTCTCATCTTGAAACACAAACTCTATATTAAACAACATCCCACTCGCTCTCTCCCCAGCCTCAGGCTTCCACTTTGTGTCTGCGAATTTGACTACTCTAGGTAGCTCATATAAGTAGAATTATACAACATTTGTCTTTTTGTGACTGACTTATTTCACTTAGCAATGTCCTCAAGTGTCATTCACGTTGCAGCGTGTGTCATAATTTCCTTCCTTTTAAAGGATGAATAATAGCTCACTGTATGTCTGGATGACATTTTGCTTATCCACTCATCCATCAACGGATACTTCACTTGCTTCTGCCTTTTAGCTACTGCGAATAATGCTATCAATACGGCTGTACAGATCTCTCTTTGAGGCCCGGCTTTCAATTCTTTTGGGTATATACCCAGAAGTAGAATTGTTGGATCATATGGTAGTTCTATTTTTAATTTTGTGAGGAACTGCCGTACTGTTTTCCACAGAGGATGCACCATTTTACATTCCCACCAATAGTGCACAAGTTTTCCAATTTCTCCACATCCACTTGTTATTTTCCTTTTTTTTTTTTAATAGTAGCTACCCTAATGTGACAACATTTTTGGTTGTCACATCTCAGGGGGAGGGGTGCTATTGGCAATGGGTAGAGGTCAGCAGTATTGTTAAACATCCTACAACGCCCAGGACAGTCCTCTGCCACAAAGAATGGACTGGAACAAAATGTGGATAGTGGCCAGGTTGAGAAATCCTGATTTAAGCTATCAGGTTCATCTTTTGTAGCAAATCTCACCCCCCTGACAAGTGCAGCCTCTCTCTTCTTTTGCTGAGATCCTCAAAGCCAACGATTTCCAAAAACCTGGAAAGCAAGGGAAGACTGAGAAGAATGGCAACCTTTCTTTTATTCAAATTTTATTGGAAGTTTACAAATGTATTACAGACATCAGTAAAACATCATATCCATTTTACAGGGCACGGATCTCAAGCAAAGTGTTCACGACAGTCTCTGGCAGAGCCCACACCAAAGGTCTACTGCAGACCTTCTTAACAAATAGCTTGACACCCGACACACAACACAGACTCTGGCATGCCTTACCTTCTCAGGCCCTTTGAGGTTTTGTTTACGTACTTGGAATTAAAGCAGGAGATGGACAAAGTGATCCTGTACAGGAAAGAATGTGTTTAGGAGCGGGAAAACTGCCAAAGTCCTAATTTACTATGGAATAAGGAGGACCCATAGGTCTTAGAATGTGAAGTCAGGGTCCACGATAGAACCAAAATGCTTTATGGAAAAACATGGACATTCACTAGAGAGGTTTGAGTAACTCTCTCTGAAAAATTTAGAAAAGCTTGGTCAGCGACCTATTGGTCAGTGGCCATACTCAGTAGGGTGAGGGATGTCTCAGAAAACTCTCAGGCTAGAACGAGGCTTTTTTTTTTTTTTTCCTACAGAGTCATCGTATCTAAATCACAGAAATGTTTTCTAACACTACGTGACATCCCCCCTCCCCGCCTTTTTATTCCTGTTGGGGAAAGCTAGTTTTGTCAGCAGGAAGTA